GGGCGAATCCTAAAGATGTGCCAATCGCTTTCGTGATACTGAGCAGTGGAGACAGCCAGAGCGAAGGCGGGACCAGGAAATTTGACCACCGGCAGCGCGAGTAGATTGCCAGGACCAAAGTATACGCAGGGCATCTCCTCACCGGGGGTGCTAGCTGTACGATTTGACTCCAAGGCATTACTCACAGAAGGCCCTACAGCGTGGTATTGTGTGAGAGGTCAAATGGGAGGTGCTACACGATGCTCTGGAAGTAAACCATGTTCCGCCGGACTGGAAGAGAGAAGGCTACCTCCCAGCACGCCACAGACCAAACTAGTCACAAAAGAATTGTCCAGTCACCCAGCGCCTGCAAGCATAATAAACAAATGAATGAGTGTTTTTTCCCATATTGTGAATTTAACGAGAGAAGACAGTTTACAGACACCGTCGCATTGATATCTGTTGAAGTATCCACAAGATTTAGAGGCCCTGTGTGGTACATAGGGGAGGTCATTATGTCCTATCATAACATCAGACGATTCTGCCAACTATGAAATGAACAAGGTGTCACTTCTCATTTAAAACACAGTGTTGAGTTTGTATCATTTACAGTAATATTTTCACCATGGGTGGCATCAAGATAGCGGAACATTCCGGGTTTGCGTTACAAGCTGTCGACACGTTTAACCTATTTACTTAATGTGATGTTACGCCAGACACACATCTGTTTCACTATAAATTCTTATGCTTGTGGCTTCAGTGATCAAATGATAAATACTCCCATCAAACCAACACCAGGATGCCAGGAGGCACAAAAAGTCTGAGGCTTGTTAGTCTGGTAGTCAGACTCATTCGCAACGGCATGCTGGTCTCCACACAAGTTCTTGTATCTCACTGCTTCTTCATTAAAGTAAGAGGTGCTAGAAGTAAGCCGCTGGGGCTAAGAAAAATGCGCTGCAGATATAATTTTCATTACTAAGTCATGGCTTTAATCGGACGTCGCGGGCCAAGAAATATCTCCACCTAACTTGACCTTGTTCCCAAAGGACTGTGAGTCCAAAGAGGACGGAAGTGTGGTCACGCCAATTGGCACGCACCTAAAAGTCAATAATATGTTTAGGCATTTACCAGACCCCTTGTGGTGCTATTTCACCACGAGGCAAGGACGTATCCATCAGAAGTGGTATACGGGCCTACCCTGAGTACAACAGTGTAGGGTACGCTTGCTCACATCATTTTCGACATTCACATCGGGAGCCCATGTAGTTGCCGCCGGAGACTTCAGAACACCGGTACTTAACCCGGGATAGGAAGTAAGCTATGGGCATAAATTTTTTTAACACATACTTAGAAACCAATTTATAACAGAAGGACCAGTAGAGGAGGCTGAGGAAATCACCCGGTGGGGATCAGATAAAAAAGAACAGCCACCGAACTATGTTCTAACAAACAATGATCTTTTAGTGGACGATGACAGTGTCCACCCTGCGCCCTAGACAAAGGCGATCACGCTTTGGTGATGCTTTCTTTTATAACCAGGAAGAAATTGTCAATAAGTGAACTGAGGAATTTGTCACATGGCAGACTACATATCGGGAACACTGAACTTCTGGAGGCTTCATGGACACAAGAGCGGTAATCACTATGGATAGACGAACAGTGGATGCTCATCAAACATATAATCTGCAGCGCTGTCGAAAAAAGTGTTCTGCAAGTAAACGAACTACCACCTCTCAAACGGCCCTCGGAAATTTGTGCAACCCGAAGGCAAATGCAAAGGAAAAGGAAGGCATATTATTGATGGCATGCATCATACAAGGAACCAGACTTTTCCAGCCACTATAAGGTACGGAACTTGTGCAGTATAAGTGTTCGTAATGACAGGCACAAATACAAGGGTAACCTGACCGAAGAGCTGAGTTACAGTCTGAAGGGCCTATATCACCTTATGTCACAACGAAAACTGGCGACTAAACGTTCAAACTTGACCACGGGACCGGCCGAAGAACCTCTAAATAACAGTGAGAAAGCGGAATTGTAGAGCAGCTGACATGTCGAGCAACTCAATTCAGTAACACATCCACCATCAAAATATATTGATGCAACGAAGTTCCAGGACTGCGATTCAAAGCTGATGAACGTAGAGATTTAGTCATACCAAGTGTTTGTGAAACTTTCAGTGCTGAGAACGGGGAAATCTCCGGGTTGTGACGAAATAGGACTGTTGGTCCCACCGAATGGTGTCGAAGTGCTGGATATACCCACATGAAATCCGTTAACGCATTCTTTGGAAGTTAGCTCTATGAAGAATAGATACGTATTATTCTCCCAAGTGGGGAGGCCGAAAAAGCCCGTTCAATTGGAGACCAGAAGCATTAACTCCCATACTTTCCATAGTACTTGAAAGTCCGGTTACATATATCGTTCGGGTCTACCTGAATGGAAACAACACCTTTTATCCCACTCAAGATGCCCTCAGAACCAGGCGGCGATGTGCCACAAACTTGTTGACTGCCTTGGGGCAATTGGACCATCAGATCGAACAACAAGCAGGCAGTCCACGTCATCTTCCCGGACTTGGCCAAAGCTTTCAACAGAGTCCCACACTACACCATGGTCGCTAAACCTGCAAAGCCGTTTTAGCATGGTTTGCGGCGTATCTAAGGGAGAGAGAATTCTGTGCTAAAGTGAACAGAATTCGATCACCTCAGAGGACTGCGTGGACTGGAATTTCTCGAGCAGCGATCCCTGAACCACTCCTATTTTCGCAATTCACAAGTAGCCTTCCTGTTAAAATCTCCTCATCCGTTCTCCTATTTGCCCACCACATCAAAAATACAGGAGATGACAGGTAAGGAAGAGGATCATGGGGTAGTCAGAGACGAGTGGAGTGGAGTCTTGGCCACCTGAGAACGGTCTAAGCTTTAGGCTAGAGAAATGCGAGATGATGTATCCCCATACGCCAGAAGTGATGAAAACCGGTTAACCCCCTCAATAAACTTTCAGTCATCGAGATATCTAGAGAAGAACCTAGGACTAAACCTTTCTGACACACCAGATACTACTGACAATTACAGAAAAGGCGGATTCCATCGTTCACCATATAAGAAGGCAGCTTCGAGCGCTAACACCGGAGTTATTCCCCATGGTAAACTCATGACCAATCTGTATATACTGTGAAGTGACGTCTTTCTGTTCTTTTTACGACCTGTGGTCACTTTTGACACCATGACAAACCCTGATGCGATACCTTCTGTATCATTCAGGACAGCTCGACTAATGGAAATTTCTTTACCATTATCGATTTGATGATGCCTGTAAACTGGCTTCTCTCATGTTAAACTCTTAATTTGGGAATAAAATATTTATTTATTTATCCATAACCTATGTCGGACCACACCTGGGGGCATTCAACACGATAGCTCCCCAATACTAGGGAGAGACGCAAATGCTCTCGATAGGATACAGAGAAGAGCAACAAGGTCGGCTGTTAGACGGGCAGGAAAAACGTGCGCTCAACGCCTTGGAAAGCCTAAAATGTTTCACACCAGGCCATCGAAGGGAACGAGGTGACCTAGTAACAGCCTACAGGACCATCTCCCAGGTAGACCATCCGAATAGGTGAGCATTACCGGTCCAAAGCCAATGGTCTCGCGGGAACCCCACCCGCACACCCCACCTTAGGGCGAAGTGGAGAGTGAGATCGAACCCCTTCCCATACAGAGTATATGACTTATAGGATGCAGCACCCTGGGAAGTAGCCACAGTTACATCAGTTGACTCCCTCAAACTACTACTGGATAAGCACGTGATCGCAAATGGCCTGTCACGGATATTTTTTGGTGGCAATTGAAAGTATGCTCATCTGTCCTTGTATTTCTCAACCCCAGCATCTGTAAGAAGACGCACCCCTCCCCCATATTACTACCAGCAACATTCATCTTACTAAAAGTACTTTTCTGTCTCCTTTTTGTCATTCACCACTCACTCCATTTCCAGCAATTTTTAGGTGACGCCTGACAGTTCTATGCAGGTGCCCACAAAAAAGGAGTTGCAACAGATTAACTGACTCTGAGCGGCTCCCTCGCCACCTCGGAAATATAGCAAGCTACAAGTTGCGAGAAAAATACCTTCAAACAGACAATCATCACCTGTAAAGCTACAAGCAGGAAAAACGTGGACTCCTGCGACCACAGGAGCACCACCGAACAAAAGGAACCGAGCTTCAAGACCTAGAAGCGACAGAAGAAGGAAATGGGCACCCTGGAACGGGTTGAGAGAAGAACTAGGAAAAAAGCGATGAAGTTACGGTGAAGACCTTACCTAGATCGCTTAGTTGCTGCTAAACTACATCCGGTCCAACACCGGTGGATCAGAAGGGATATAGTCATGATATATCACACTGGCAATAACCCCTTTCATCCGAAAAGGTTCCTTCTAAGCGTTATTCTGAATTGCTACCTTAGGGGTCACCCGTTAAGAGTAGATATCCGCTAATTTGTTTACAGTTAAAGTTTGTAAACAGTGGAACTTCCTTTTTTCGGAAGCTATTTCGGCCCCATCCCCTAATTCTTTAAAAAGGCGGCTAGATGCACATCTAGGGTTTTGTGGTGCCGATAGGTTGTACTTGAGAAGCCTTTAAACATCTACAGATCAGTAGGAGTAATACTACCTTCAGACAAGATTAATAAATAATAGATTAGCTGTCCTTGAAGGTCTTTCGGAGCCGCTCAAAACCTAGAACGTACTCCAATAAAACAGAAGCAGAGCACAAGGAAACATCGTTCACTGATTTTGCGGCGCAAAGTCTGGAATTTAAGAGCTCAAAAACTACAAGTTTCCTCTGCTCTCACTACTGTCATTCGATATTTTGGGATGGATGTTTTCTTTGTCTATTTTTTGCACAGGCTAGCAACCAAAGAAACTTGTGGTTCTCTGCCACTAGATATGTTAAGTGAAAGCTTCTATTTCATTATCAATGGTTTAGACCGATTGAAGTACTGTGGTCTGCAGCACGTAGCGCGTTATTTACTGCCTGCGTAACTATTATGACTTAAAGGATGGGTGTTTGCTCAAGTTGAAGTTTTTCTGCAGGGATACTTACTTACATGGTGGTTTTCAAGCAGTTTCTCGTTCTCCAAATTATACTGAATGTAAATGTGCTCTCCGTTCTTGTCGTTGTATGTCATGTTGCTTTTTACTCAGTGTTTTCAGAAGGACTTGACTGTGGGTAAGTTTGTTCGAAATTTCGCGGACTCGGAGGCCCTTTTTGGTGCACCTATTATTCAGGGATCCCTGATACTAGTTAGTCCCACTTCACTAATTGCAATTGCAGGGACGAATTTTTCTTTCCAACCCGTTAGATGGGTGTGTGCAAAAGATTCCTCTACCTTCGAATGCCTCTGATTCTTCTCTTCCTTACATTTCACTTATCAAGCGAGGGAATTGTTCGTTTGTACAAAAGGTGTCAGCTGCAGAACGAGGTGGTTATATTGCTGCTGTCGTTTATAATGTAGATGATGGGATTTTTCCAATGAGTTCTAATTCTTGTAATGTCTGTCATTCTGTGTTAATCTTTCACAGCGACTGTCATCAATATTTCTGCAATAATGATCAGTCTATCGGATGGTGAGCTCGTCCGCAACAACTACTGCACTTCAGAGTAAGTCATACTCATTTGCATCTAAGCATAAAATATTTTATTTCATCTTTTGGAGCATGTTAGTTCAGTACACTTCATAATTAGGCCGGGTTGCATTTCAAAATCCCTTCGGGAGGTTTGATCACATCAAAAAGTTCTGTTTCATTTACGTAGCTTATAGTACTTATTTGATGTGTGGAAGCAAGATGTACATTTTTTATTTGTGTCCAAATCTGTGCCAATGCCGAATGTTGACTGAAGCTAGTGATCTTGTTGAGTTTTTGTTAGTTTCGTCAAGACCAGTGAATTTGTAGTCATCACTTGTTGCTAGGTTAGTAATAGTTCCTGCTGATTATTTTGTTAATTAATCCAGTAAGTCCAGTAAATTCTACTGTTTCACTGTGTGATATTTCTAGTAAACAGGCTAAAATGGAATTACAATCGACCACAGTGCCCAAGTTTTACACATACTAATTATCAAGGATTATAGGCCGTTGGCAAGGTAAATGAAATACATTGTGTACCAGTCTAGCCAACTTTAAAAAAATCAGTTTACATTCATCAATAACCCGAGTGAAATGTTTTCTTTCGTTGTTGCTGACTCATCAACCGTCTCCAACAATAGTCGTTGCCTTGATGTGGTGTCCGGGCTGTCATATCACAATGACCCAACGAACTATGATGGTGCAACGCCTATTCCCTCGAGGTCCTACCATACCAAAAAGGTCACGTGGATAGCGGTAAGACTAAAAGCAGTTAACTTTATGGTGCAGATTGTTGGGCTATGAAAGGAGTCTGAGGGCGAAGTCGTACTGCTGACTGCATGAAATGCTACAGTAGCAAGGTGGAAGATGACCAGGAATGCAATACTGATGCTGCTTTCCCTATGAAAATAGGGGAGGCTTGAAGAGGCCGACCCTAAAAATAGTTCACTTCTTTCTACTCTGCGATACACCTCTACCGGCGACATAAGTTCATATTCGCAGTCGAAACTAGTAAACTTAAATTTCAAACTTTTAAAAAGACCATGCTACCGGCTTCAAGATGTCCCTTAGGCTCCGCAGACACACCGTAACCCTTCTTGTTAAAGTACCTCAAGAGAAACTAGTGGTTCACGACGTGGGCAACCGGGAAGTGTCAACTGCCCTCAACTCTGCCAGCACTCAAGTCCCCTCAGATAATTATCACATATTTTCCTTCTAATCTTTCACACCTCTTGATCAACATTCCTACATCATCCTTAATTTATCCCAGCTCTGCAGCTCTTGATAAAGATCTAAGTCTACAGAACTGCATCTCCAGATTCCTGAAAGCATGCTACAAACTACATATCTGTGCTTCTAATGTCCACACCCTCCAAATCGGCCAACAAGTTCCGTTAGCCAAACACCTACATCTTGGGCCATGAATGTGTGCTGTGTCTCCTAAACATGCATACTGGACTTGGGTGTCGTTATTCACTTAACCTCGTCCAATCAATGTTGTGGATCCACAAAATTCGCGATGGCTATTTCTCACGGTCTTACAGATGTAGGTATATCATTAAATAATATACAGAAAGTGCGCTGCTCGATTTGATCCCAGTTAACAGTCGTCTATTCGCTGCCTGACTGAATGCTACAGTGAGGACTGAGAAGAATGGTGAAACTCATCGTTGTCTCTTTGTAATCTCTGTTTACGCACCCATTCACGGCAGCTTGGGTGAAGTGAAGGATGATTCCTACTGAAAACTGTCAGTCCTATTAATGAAAGCCAAAGGTTCATATGTCGTTGTTATTGCAGGCGATTTAAAGGCACAGATGGGTAAGCTAAGTCAATCAGAAAGACACTAATATGGCACATTCAGAATTCCAAGCGAACGAATAGATAACGGCTATTGCCTGCTACAATTGTGCTCAGACAACCTCAGCTCAGTAGTAAACACAGACAGACCACATTTCTATCAGTTGTCGCTGGAGAGGGGCGGTGGAAGATGACCGCTGCTTCTGCAGCATGTGTTTGAACGGCGACCGCGCGCATTCAAGCACTTGTATCTGCACCCAAATAGACACGGGAAAGTTACAGTGGCAAGACCGTTACGAATGCGGCTTGACGACGAGAATACTAAGGCTGCTTTCGGAGAAAAAAACTGGCTGGATAGCTATGGGAACAGAAAAACATCATTCATCTGAAAGAAGCGTATGGTCGTTTTTCTAATCTGCTGTAAGAAAGTGTTGAAGACCTTATATGACTCTCAAAAAGATGTTACAAATGGTCAGTAGATCTCAGCAACGTCTTCTCGATTAGTTGATGCACGCAAACGCATCTGTGCAGGCTTCGAACACAATGAAGAGAAACTCAGATGTAGACTGATAAGAAGCCTGCACAGTGACTGCGTCAATGGTGGGCATCGAAGGCTAAAGATAGGGAATAGTAGACAGCTATTCGAACTTATCAAGGAAACTGGGACAAATTGTTCAGTGTTTGGTGAGATTATAGCGAAAAAGGAAAGGGTACGATTCACTCACAGAAAAGACTGAAACGATGGATGGAACACTTCGAGGAACAGTTCTGCTGGCCTCCAGCCACTGTCCTATTGCCCACTATTCAGTCGGACCCCCGGTGAAACATTGAGATGGGTTCTCTAAAAATTGCAAACGTCGAGGAAGCTGTAAGCAGTCTGAAACGAAGAAGGGCAGCAAGTTCAGAAAGATTAGTTTCCAAAGTATTTAAGAAAAGTCGTCGCAGATTATTGGTCGGGTTAACTGAAGTGTTAGTGTTTTGGAAGCCAGATAGATCTCTACTGACTGGTCCCAGTCACTGATTGTTCAAATCTTCAGGAGACTGAAGGAATCCTCTTCTAGTAATCACAGAATAATCAGCCTGACGGACATGTTATCTACGATTCTGGGTTCTGTGATTATCGAACGTCTGAGTGGAGCTTGAGAACAGTAAACCCAATAAACCGGATAGGTTTTGGATTTCGGAACTCAAACACCCTTTCTGACGTCCGACACCGGCTGTATTTCTCGATATGAGGGTGGCATTCAACTCCTTCGATCGAGGAGTCTTATGGTAGAGTCTAAAAAGGCGTACGGAGTAAGTAAATCATTCTGTTGAAAGTTGCGTACAGGAACACCCCTGGGCGTGTTACAATTTATGATGAATTTTTACACAAGTTGTGTACCTTGAATGGTGTCCATCAAAGAGGTTCATTCTCTCCATACTTATTCAACTTTATCATAGACGTACATATGGAGGTCTTCCTATTCTCTTCTGGCTTCATAATGATCTAATGATTGGTGAGTCCTTAGTGGATCTAGAGTAAGCAGGTGACATATTCCTGTTGGGAGAAGATGCTGAAAAGATGCGGAGCCATGTGGATACTTTGAGTGGCTATTTCATGATGTTTTGGATGCTTTTTTCGCTACTCAAATGCACATTTTTAGTTTCAGGACTGGTCTTTAGTGGTGCCCTGTCTAACAATAGGGAGTGGCAGTTGAGCACGTTGACTGCTTAACTTGGCTGGGAAGTCGGATCAGCTCTGTTGGGTTGGTGAAGCACAAATGCAAAAGGTTCGATTGACTTTCGCTAACATACGCCATATGTGATGCTGCCGTGATATCTGATTGTCTATTAAGGATCGAGTGTACTGCACTACCGCCCTCTGAGTTCTATTGTATGGCTGGGAAACATAACCACTAGAGGTAGACATATAGTGTCTCCATGTATTTGACCACTGTTGCCTTTGTAGCATGGGTCTTGTGTCATTGTGTGTCACCACATCAGTAAAGCAAAAGTCAGATGTAGTGTTTCAGGGAGAAGGGGAAAGTTAATCGATGAGTCTGTTTTCGCTTGATGTGCTAATATATGGTGCGGCAACTTAAACCGTTACACATTAATGCCAGTAGCTATGTTGATTTGTCTATCGGTGAAAAGCAATAAAATATTTTGATGTGGTGGGTTTATTATTTGAAGAAACAGTTAACAGTTAAATGTCTTAGTATGCATTTCTTGATGCCCATTTACTGAGTTCGTGTTAAATAATAAGAGACGTTAAGGAGGTTGCAGGCAATTCTGTGGGATTGATTAGGTGACTCCTTTACAATTGATAATGAAACGCCATTAGTTTATTTGGTTAAAAATCTAGAAACCGTTTTAGAGTCGAAATTATTCCTTGTGGATACATCTCCGTTGTAAGTTGTTTCATATTTTGACAGAAGAGTGATATCCTGAAAACAGCTAAGTTTGGTAATAATCCTAATAATAAAGTAAATTAGCATACAAATATATTTTTACTATCTAACGAGAAACATATCTGAATGTTGTGATACTAACTCACTGTGTATACGTCAGTAGTTGCAGAAGGGATCAAATTCTTGATATACAGGTTGAAAGTTGGGTTTCCAATCCATTTAATCATGGCTGTACAAGAGAATTTATGCATGTTATATTTTCATAAATCATAATGACTGGTATTTTCTTAGTGCTTTATCGTCTTCCGAAAATACCAAAGATAAAAGCCAATTTCCAGGTTATGCAGTGTTTGTTCACCAGATAATCTGCGGTGGTATTTGCAGCATGGGCATAATTACCGAAAATTCTTATTTCTCTGACATGCCTACCAATCTTATGGAAATATCCTACTTTTTCCAGTTCGTATTTTGTTTGCATTGTAGTCTTTTAGAGAAAACGGAAATATTCAATTATTAGCGTGGTGAACTGTATTCCAGTGAGATTATATTCGTCTTATCCTGTCCTGAAATAAGACCAAGCTACTGTAATCTCACCATGATTCATTGACCCGGGTACCTGGTTTTCAACCAGTGGCTTGTGAGTTTGAACTGTACTGCACCTACTGAGTTGTGAGGGGCCATTTGTTGTCATCACCTCTCATACAATAGGTCTAGTTCATTGCCTTCTGCAATAACGCTCTCGTGGTTACTGAGTTGTACTTTGAATGTTTTCAATTTTTTTATACAACTGAATTCTTAATTTGTTGTGTAATAATCAACTTTGATTTTCTGCTCACTCTTGGCAAAGTGCTGACACAATTAAAATTGGAAAGTGCAAGCGAAAAAACGAATAGTTCTATTTATATACGATTAAATAAACAACCGTGACAGGTACTTCAAGGTGACAACCAGATAAAAGATGACTTGTAATTACAAATGACTAGAAGTTTCCTTAAATTAGCTACTTAGTGACCAGATGTAGTAAAATCTGTTGATTTTTTGGACATTTGGCCTAGTCCTCATCATTCCATTTTTTAAAACGTATCTGACATGCAACTTGTACAAACAACGTCACAAGTAAGTCACATATTGGAGCTGTCTTTAAAGGGGTCAATGATGATAAAGTTTAGCTTTGAATTTTAAGTATACTCTATGTAAGTAATGTGAGGCAGAAGTACTGTCTAGTGGTATGTCTCATTTATTGAGTAGCTCAGTTAGAAAAAAATGGGAACCTCATGTTTGTCAGTAGTTATTAACTCACTTCAAAAGCTACTTGAAGGACATCAGGTACCCTTACTTTTGATCTCAGCAATTATGCAAGGGAGTATCGAATTTATGAGATCACAGAAATAAAAGGAATTGTAATCATTCTTTTTCCCATATTCGTTCTCACTGACTCGTTTCATTGTAGGTAACTGCAGTTTCTGAATACCAAGGTATTAACAATTTAAACTTCTCGCTTAATTGAGCTACGACAGCATGTTAACAAAGTTTAAATTAAGTGACCCAAGAAAAAAGGAGAACTATAAGGAAGTTAAGAGAGTAGTGTTTCAGAGGATGCATTTTCTACCCATATACTGAAATAATTTCGTATGGAAATACTTACATTCGAGGGATTACATACACAGTCAAAGATGCGTATTAGTTTTCAGATACGTTTTTTGAACTTTTAAATAAAATAACAAAGCTTGAAAATGGCTAGTATATGTGCTTGTATTCTTGAAATAGACATTAGGTAGAAGCTGACACTCTTTAGTTTGCAGTGAATGATATTAGTCAGGATTTAAACTTTGCTTCGAATTTGAATCATTGATTTGTTGCTAAGGTAGTTCAACTTGGTGTTAAGTATTCCTTCTAATTTATTCTTGCATTACTTTATTAACTTACTGAAAGAAGTTTTTTGTTATTTTTCGGAAATTTTAGTTACTTTGCTGAAATCTTACCCACTCGACACCGAGATATTACATTCTATCTTATTCCACTGATAACCTGTGTACTCATAGTTTTAGTTGCACTGGGTGTAGCATATATTATTCGGTGTTGGGACCGGTATCGAAGACGACATCGGTTTTGCTTACCAATAAAAGAGTTGCACAAGATACCAGAAACGGTGTTTGATAAAAGTGAGTGTCATTGTAGTTGCTTTGGAAATAAATCAGTTATTTACTCATTTTAATTTCGTTTGCATTTCACTCAACAGTATCATTACTTGTTCATTGATGTAGCTAAACTTCATTCTGTGGATTAACAGAAAGAATTTCTTGATGGAGGATGAAGGGTTCCTCTGAAATTAAAAGAGATATGGCTCATTCATGTAGGGATTCACTTTTCAACCATTGGGTTTCTGGATGGAATACCACTTTTCCTATAAATGTTTGAGCAACTTCATTGTATTATAATTTGTCGATGAATGTTGTCTATGGTTTAGCATATAGACTGATACGTGGTTTCTGAATTACTTATCTTTCAGGAATTATGTAGTATTCTTTTTGTTAGTTGTTTTTGTCTTGCAGTGCTGGTCTGTTCCGAATTCCACCTGTCAGTAATGTGATCTAAGTGTCCTTTGGTCACTACAATTGAGGATAAAGTAGTGCTCTGTTTTCCGGTCTACTTACACTCAAACTCTTATCCTGCTATCACTCCAAATAACATGAGTCACAGTACACTACGGATCAAAAAATTTAGACGATGATTCACTAGTTCATTGACCGGCGTTCTAGACGTAATCTGAACGTGATATCTACCACTTGTAATGTTAACAAAATCTGCTTTCCTGACAAAATGTCTTCAACCTGCCTTGTAAGCGAAGTGATCAATACATTAGGCTTCTTCAATTTGTTAAGTCAGACTAGGCATGGGGAGAGTATAAATGTAAATCTCACACCTTGAAACCTTGATTGTTCGTCTAACGTTCTTACAATATTTAGAAAATAAACTGATTAAAATGATGGGGTGACGTGACCGTGTGATCACTGTTCATGAATCAGTTGTGAAAATGAGGCTGCTACTGAACTAATATCAGATGACAGAGTGATTATTGAGCCATCCTAGGATAAAATAAAGTACCCACTTGTAGGCGATATATTTGACAGAATCGACATAAGTAAAATGTGTTTTACACATCAGGACTAACTGAAATTCACTGACCAACCAATTAGTTAAAGTGAATATCAATTAATCCCTTATCCACTGTGTGACTATGAGTTGTGAGAACATCACACAATAATGCAAAATAAATTTTACCATATCCATATTATTTTCATTTTTTGGAAATTCAGTTGTCACCAAAATAATTACATGCAAATAATAGTGTCCGGATAAATTTTTACATTGAACTTCACTTCAGTGGGTTAAGTGAGGCTGTTGTTCTGTTACGTTTCCATTTTGTGCTGCGTTTGGGACCGGTGTTGTTCACGTGAACAATGTTTACTGGTGTGCAGTTTTAGTTTTAACTATTTGGTGAGTATTTCTACCGTATGCCCATTAGATAATTATGGTGTATGGATTTTTCAACCTCCCTGTGCTTAGGGATGCCTGTGCACTCAAGTAATATTATCAGTCTTCACATCGTGAAACTGGATGTGGTGTGTGACTTGCTTTAGTACAGTAGAGTTAAGCTTTAATGGATGAATAATTGCACAAGAATAAATAATTTATTAGGGAATAGGACCACGTTTCGAAGCATGAAGTTGTAATAGTATATTCCAAGAAAATAATATTTTATGGGTGGGAGTTAAAAAAAAATAATTTTAGCAAATAATGAATTACGTGATGTACCGAGTGAACACAGCAAAAAAATGGTACACAAATCTGTATCATTTTCTTAGTGTTCTGAACTGGATTTGAATGCTTCATTTTACCACTACTTCTATGAGTTCAAAGGTTCGAAACGATTTCTGAAGTGAATCGTTATATAACGATGATAATATTAACACTATACACTGTGAAATCATAATTTCTCTGTAGTGCAAGCTACCGGCTTCACGTTGTTTTTGTAAATAAACGAGGTTATATCAAAAACGCTGGTTTGTTAACTACCATTTGTGAATCTTAAGGCCTAATATATTCATACTGTCTTCCACGTGTTAATATCTCAATGCACAAATAATATCGTTCAGTGAATGAAATAACCAATTTATCATCATTATTTTGCTTGAAAAGATAGTTTTTATTTTGAAATGTTACATGGATACGTTGGTAAAACTGTTTTTGAAGCCATTCACTCAAGTGTAATGTCCTTTGAAGCTATTCCCTGAGCTGCGAGATGTATCATTATCATTACTATTTGTCCCTTGGGTTCCTAGTGGAACACTAGCACGTCTCCATTCCACTCTGTTCTCCACAATCCTTTGAACCTGGCTCCACGACTGCCCAGAAGCTCTCATTTCTTCCTCACACGACCTCATTCATGTCACATTCTCCTCGGACGCCCAACTCGCCGTTTCCCACCTAAGTTTCACTCAAGTGCCTGGCACGTGATGTCATCGAATGGTCCTCTCAGTGCATGCCCAATCCATCTCCACTTCCTTCTGCATATTTGTTGAGCGATAGCTTCTTGGTTGGTTCGTTGCCAGCCAGCCAGCCAGCCAGAGTTCCTTGTTGCTTATTCTTTCTGGGCATCTAAGCTTCAGTAACGAGTGTAAACAGTTGTTGATGAATGTCTGTAGTTTGTTGGGAATGCTTTTCATAACGCGTCAAGTCTCTCAAACATCGTATAGAAGCACTGACTTGACTGGGTTGGTGTTGAAAATCCGGATGTTGTTCACGCTTTGTGCTGAGTGCAGAAGATCTCCGCACTGGTTTCAGGTTAATGAACGCCTGTCTTGCTGTCTTTCCGATCCTGGCTGGCTTTGACATGCTCGTCTGTGCCTGTGGTGCCTGTAGTCGAAACGGTACTGCCTAGGTGATTAGGTGAAAGAGGCCGCTTCCTTTAAGTTTCTCCCATTGATGGTGATTGGAGTTTGTTGTTGTTGGTGGTGGCGTTGGTTTGGTATCACCATCACCTCTATCTTCTCTACCTTCACTTGAAGTCCCGTCTTTGCTGCCCTACCTCTTCTGTCAACTATTTAGTTTTTACCTGTTCTAAGTGAATATCAAGGATGTCTTTCTCGGCAATAGTTTCACTGACCATCACGTTTTCTTGATCTTTACTGAGAAGACAGTAGATTCGAGTGAATACGTATTTTCGTTTGTCTCATCATACTCAACCCTTAATTATGACATTCTGATCCAATAAAAAAATACACGTAGTGTTCATAAGTGATTGGTAAGTATTTAAAAAGGGGAAAACTTGGTGCACTGTTATATAAATGAATGGATTGCGCAGTTGTTTTTAACCCAATACTCGTCAACACTTTTCTGTAGATCACGATCTATCCCTAAATTTACCTGTTGGATCTGATAACATCCTACTACTTCAAAGTAGTTGAATACAAAGACTCATAGATTAGAAATGAAATTACTTGATATAGTACAGCTACACTGAAGCACCGCTTTTAGTCGTGATTTCTGTATTTCGTGGTTTTACGGAAATCAAGAAGTACTCCCTACTGAGTTATCTTTATTGAGTTCTATCACTCGGTGTTACTAAAATTCACCATTAGATTTTCTGTTTTTCAAGATAATCATCCATTTTCCTTATAGTTTTGTCTGTCTGCCTTTACATGATTGGAATATTTTGCTTTTTAGACTCAAGTCAGTTTGAAGTCTGTGTAATTTGTTTGGAAGAGTATAAAGACGGTGAAAAATTGAGGGTATTACCATGCAAACACGGTGAGTAGAATTTATATCAGTACTTTTTTGAATTCGCTTACTAATACTGTAGTGGGTGCTACGGATAAGAATGCATATAAGTAGTATGTGTTAAGAGGTCGGAAGAAGTCATAGGTGCAGTTACGAGCGATAGGTAAATACTCTACCCATAGAAGCGCAATAGCTGGAGCAGCCGTATCACGAGCAAGATGAGATACAAGAAGAAGAAGAAGAACTGAAACAAATTGTGCAAGTTGATATTTGAATGGAAAGCTTATGCTATTTCATCAATAATGTACAAATTATCATAATAAACATCCTTCTGCGATTCATCCTTCGCCGTTTTCTTTGAATTGGTAGCTGCCAGTAGCCTGAGCGGAGGTCCAGAACTGTAAATAATTTTGCATTCTGCAGGCGATCCAATGTTTCAGCTACCGTCGGCATGGCACAGAGTTTTAGTTTCGTTATGCTGTTTAGCTCGGAAATCAACACAGGATCTATATTTCCCATCGGACTTTGTTTACTAAAAGCACTAGCGAACTGTATGGGTTATCAGATACTTCAATAATGCCTTCATTTAGCTACTTCTTGAACCTGGGACCCAGCTTCTTCTAAGTGACAGGGATTCGACGTGTTATAAATGTGACTGCAAATCGGACGGCTAATAGTGTACAGTGAATAAAGAGTGAATTAAAGATAATACGGCAGTCAAAGAATCTTCACAAATGTTGCTGCTTCATTGTCTACTGTAGAGTTGTGGCTCGTTAGTTTTAGGAGTTGACTTTGAGCCAGTGGGTTACGGGTTCGAACACCGCACCACCTAACAAGGTTTGGGTAGCCAGGTATGGCTCATTACCTGCTACTCGGATGTGTACAAGGCTGCTAAGTGGATGTGGAATTCGAATTACTGCCTACTTTACCAATCATTGCTTCCTATTATCCGGACCGGACAAGTGTTTGGAATCTAGTAGGGTTGGATTGTTCTTGTTATATCGGCTTGTATGCACGTATAAAGATGATTGTAGGTAATTTTGATTATCCGCTTAGTGTTTTTGCAAATATTTCTTATTTGAATAGTTTAATTTTCTGATTAAAATTTATTGTACAGATACGTTAAGAAATTTCATGTTATGAATTGTTTCTGACTGATTGACCCACCAAATCGACGTAGAACCTCACACATAAACGGATCGGTTAGGGTTCAATTTGCCACACTTCACTGTAGTACACAAAGAACAGGTGAATAGAAAAAGAGTGATATGAAAGTATAGGAAAGCATATGATAGAATGAACAACTTGAAGATGAAGCCTAGTGAAAGTATTCGAGCTTTAGAAGACATTAGGGACATCCGCATCATTGTGATCTGACTGAATGCAACTCCTCTAAGCATCACACATCGAGGTAGATAGTGGTTGAGCCTTCACAACACATTTTCAAATCAGCTCAGTCATTGAAGGTTCACAGTCCTATGCCTAGTACTCTTCATTTGACCTCAAAACTGTTCACACGGTGAGTCTATCAAATGCGAGGAATGTTACTAAGATGCCTGTGAATAAAGCCCTGTAATCGCTTCATGTCTTTTACTTATAACGGCCACGTCTCAAAGCCGTACAACATGACAGAATGGACTGTAGCGCAGTATAATCTTCCTTAGATAGGTAGTCGGCTGCAGAGATGACACACGTTGACTAACGCCAAACACGCCTTCTGTATCCGTGCTGAGATTTCGTCAGCAACTAGCCTATTTGGGTTGATGCGACTCTTCAAATAAGTGAATTGGTAAACACATTGCACCACTCTACTCCTTATCATTAAAGTGGGACTACTTGCAGCAGACCAGTCCTGGAGCATCATCGTATATTTGAAAGGTGCGAAACATGTACCAAGCATACACAGATTTCTGCTCAAGGCGTTCAGAAGACCCTGCCTTCACCTGGTAGGACAATATCGTCTGCATACTCCAAGTCAACCAGATGACCTCCAGGGAGTAGGCCAATCCCTGTGAACTCAGATGTACCCGAGGTTATGTCCATAGGTATGTCTATGACGAAGTTAAGTAAGAATGTTGACTGTGGGTATCCCTGGTGGACACCATAAGCCCTGACAGGGCTGCGTGAGTTCGAGTAGAGAGCTTTGATAAGCATTATGCACTTTGTAGATACTGCCTTCTCAGGCAAACACCGCCACAACGCTTCATGGTCAGCAGAGTCAAATGCCACCTTAATGTCAAGAAATGTGTCAAGTATTGGCCATTGGCCGGTGGGCATGCCTGCATGCCAGAACCTGTCAGAGGGTGAAAACATGATCGATGCACACTAGACCAGGCCTGAAACCTGCCTGGTTTTCTTGAGTTTGCTGTTCTCAAGCTCCACTCAGGCGTCGGATAACTACGGACCCGAGAGTTTTGGACACAATGCTAGTCAAACTAATTCACCTATAGTTATCACAAGAAGATTTCTCCCCCTTCTTATAGACTGGGATGATCAGTAAACTAGACCAGTCTGGCGACACTGCCTCTGATTCCTATACACTACCTAGTATCTCCGTCAATCTAATCAGCAATTTCCTACCTCCATCCTTGAAAACTAAGTTGACAAAGTGTCAGGTCCTTCCGCTTTGCATCATTCCAGGTTCGATACAGCTTTCTCAACTTCAAGGGGAGTTGGCAGACCGACATCTACGTCCCATTCAGGTTCAGGCTCCATGGTAGGGAGGTGAGGAGTTACTGCAGCGGGGTACCGGTACATCCAGCTGACGAGTCCTAAATAGGACGGAATGTGCGTCCTGGATTCCTCTGCTAGTCACCAAGATCAATATGACCGCCCAGATGCCTTTCCAATTAGCTGAGCTTCCCTAATTAAGCGTCAAAGTCACCTGCCATAATGACTACATCTGAACATTTTGCATTTTGTAGCGAAATTGACAGCTTCTCATAGAATTCATCCTTTGTGTCAACCGAAATGCAGTCATTGGTTGGATAGGTGAAGATTACGAATAGGCATCAGTTGGTCTCACGATCCTTCCTAGTCCGTACAGATCCGTTCAGTCGAACGGCACGTTAACGGCTATCAACTGGTATCTAGTGGAGAAGCACAATTTCCGCTCTACAACCTAATGCTATGCCTACACCAGCAAATCTATGAGGGCTATCCGTTGGGTTTCTGAATACTAGTAGTTTTGAAGGTTCACTACTATGGCCAGTTAGGGTCAGTTTAATAGCCACATTCGGACCCTGTATACGTGTCTCAGAAAGACAGCATACATCCATGACTGAAGATTTCAGAATTTTGGGGATAGATGCTTGCTGTCCGACTTGGCATAGAGTTCGAAAATTGAAAGCTCCTACATGAAATCTGTGACGAAGTCTTGGGAGATTGAGAATGAGGTTTCGGTGGTTTTGACTATTGGAAATGGTTGCAGAATAATAGGATGGGTAAGGCGCAAGAGGTTTAATATTATTGTCAGTAGGTGAAGACAATGAGGGAGACAGGGTTGAGGAGGATAAGTTATGTGTGACTGGATCTTTTGTACTACTGGAAGCGTGTTGACACTTCCCTGCTGACCACATCATGGAAGGCTTTTTCTTCCTAAGGTACCTGTAAGAGAAAAAGACTTACGTGACCGCAAGGCCCATAAGACATTTGCCTGAGACCTTTCCCACGTGGCCCATTGCAGGATGTAGTTTTGAGGTTTGGTTGTTTTAACGCTGGCTAGCGAGAACCCATACAGCCTGCACCGGAAGATTGTAGGGCAAATTGAGTGTGTTATTTTTGGGACCGACCTGCATGGCACTGCTCTTCATCTAGGGGAAACAGATTACTGCAGTAACATCCCATCCAGCTAGCAGCAGTACAACTTCGCCCTCAGAGACCCCCATCATAGTGTAGCAATTTACACTACTACGGTGACTGCTTTTCGTCTTACCACTATTCAACTAACCTTTCTGCCATGGTACGACTTTGAGGGAACAAGCGCCACACCAGGATAGCTCTTTGGGTCATTATGATATGTGAGCTTAACCGCAACCTTAAGGTAGCAGCTAAGGGTCGGTGACTATAACTTTGCATTTACGTGTAGATCTGTGCGTCATCCTGAGAAATGATACGAGTGCCACCTTGGTAGGTAAGATAGGTTTTGATCTTGTGGCCTGTTGTTTGTAGATTGACTGCCCTAGCCATAGACACACTTGGTGTTGGCTGGTGCTATACACAGGGTAGGAATCTTTGAGCATCTCTTTCCTGGTTGTTGCCTAAGTTGGCCGATGGATTTTTGTCTCATGATGAACTAGATATGCGGTTTTTTTGTGTTGTTTGCTGATCAATTAATTTAACCAGCGGTTTATTACTTAAAACTTTTTGTAGCTCACATTATACCAAGGAATATGCTCTAATTATTTTCTTATAGCTTACCATAGTAAATGTGTGGATCCATGGCTTGTGAAACGTCGTAGTTGTTGTCCTATGTGTAAGAAGAGGGTTCGTAGTCGCCCTAGAATCAATGTCTCACGCTTTGCAAGACTACGACGTAGTTCCGCCACCATATCAGAAGCTCCACTAATAGATGATTCATCTTTTGAAGAAGATTCAGATTCAGAAAGTAGTGGTTCAGATCATGAACAGAATACTTCTTACAATAGGAACAGTTCTGCAGATGCATTTATTTCAGTTTCAAATGAACGAACCCCTCTTTTTAATTCATGCACCAGTCGACTTAGTGACTCAACATTCGAGCGTATGAAGGTCGCTGCTTCGATTTGTGAGGATTTGGAAGAGATACTGGGTGACATATCAGTTCACGACCCCGGAGGAGTTACTGCATCCACTCATGACCTGTCGAGGAACATTTCATTTACACACACAGAATTACAGCCTCAAAGTTCTCGTACTGTGAATGAATCCATCAGAAAAGGTTAGTGTTTTTGTGTCATTATTCTTATCATATCCTTTATTGACTGCAGGAAAAGGGTAACACTCGTTTAGTCCTCCTCACCTGCGTTATTCGAAGATAATAATGGGGCGTAACAGAAAAACTATATAAACTACCTTACCAACCGATATCGCAAAAAGCTAGTCGATTGGTTGGTCCAAAACTATGGCCCTCAGTATGTCAGTTAACAATTCAACTACAAGGAAGCATATTACGGTGGTACACCGGTTACACGATTAGCTGTGAACTCATTTACCCTCTTGAAATAAAGGTTACATATCATGTCATCTATCTCCACCTCCTGTAGCTTTGCCTCCAAATTAGAGCGTTACTTCGCAAGCCTATCACTGTGTTGAGTTCGATTTGTTCCAACACCTTTGGCTTTGCTAGAATCTAAGGAGAGATGTCCTATGTGGTTTCTAATGACGAGTGATGGCCTTCAGTGGTGCGTGTAACATAATTGGTTGCATGTTTATGTCCTCGGTTATGAGAGCCTTTAATACCACCTAGTTACGCAGACTGCAGTAGGTAATGCGGGATTTGGATCGGAGACCAGTTGCTTGCAAGCTGAAAGTTAGAGATATTCTTTGTCTAGTTGCATTTAAATTTGTCACAGACTTACGTAGAGAAGGCGATCATGTCTCTCTTTTTGATCTTAGATTCTTTTATTGACTTAGAGTTTGTAGATGAGACACAGTCCTCTTATTTGAAGAACTTAACAGAAGTCTATCTGGAATGTGTTTTTGTTTTTCTAAGTTCGAATTGTTGCTTTAAGACTCGTTTGTATCAATACCTTTGTTGATTAGTGAGAGTAAATTAATTGGATTCACTGACATTATTGCTTCGGTGCATTTCTGTGAAATATGGCTAGTAAAGATAGAGATATTGGGAAGACTGTATGCATTTGACCTCTATTATCGCGAAACTCCTCTTTATATTCAGAATCACCATTTGGGTAGTATGAATATTAGGTGTATGTTTAGCGGCACAAGCATGTGTAAGCTTCGTATTTGAAGTGTACAAGATAATCGCAATCGATTATCCTAGGCATTGAATGTGATGTTTTACAGTTTATCACACTAACAATGATGTCTGAACTGTAACTTTATTCAAATCAGTGTCATATATCTTGTTTTCCTTCATTCCTTTTTATTTTACACCCTTGAGAACTGCTAATATTATTATTTTCATTACACTGTCTTTCTTCTTGTTGATTTCCACCCTGTGTTGTTTTGAACTAGGATTATTTTAAGCCATACGCACTTGCATTGATTTTTATTGTTTATGTTTGCCTATGCTATAATCTCGTGGCCAGATGTACGTGTATTCTAAGCGGTTGGTGATTAGTGCTCATGTGATGCGCAATTCAATATCCTTTTCCACACTGGTACGTTACAGACAGACAGACAGACAAAATCAACGTAGAACCTCGCACATAAGTGGATCGATTAGGTTTCAGTTTGCCACACTTCACTGTAGTACACAAAGAACAGGTGAATAGAAAAAGAGTGATATGAAAGTATAGGAAAGCATATGATAGAATGAACAACTTGAAGATGAAGCCTAGTGAAAGTATTCGAGCTTTAGAAGACATTAGGGACATCTGCACCGTTGTGACCAATTTTCAGCCATATCACCAATGATTGCTGAACCACCGATTCGTATCGTGTCGATGACACCAGCCAGGTAGTTCGAATATCCCTGTATGACTGAGATCAACAACCAGAGACTTCATTAACTGATGCGATGCTTTACTCTGGCCCACTTTGAACCCTCTCCTGATCGGATGCAGCTCCTCTAAGCATCATACATCGAGGTAGATAGTGGTTGAGCCTTCACAACACATTTTCAAATCAGCTCAGTCATTGAAGGTTCACAATCCTATGCCTAGTACTCTTCATTTGACCTCAAAACTGTTCACACGGTGAGTCTATCAAATGCGAGGAATGTTACTAAGACGCCTGTGAATAAAGCCCTGTAATCGCTTCATGTCTTTTACTTATAACGGCCACGTCTCACAGTCGTATAACTGGTACGTGATACCACGCATTGCATGGGACAAAACAGTGTCAATCCATATAAACTCTGTTATTGTTAATCGAAGCAGTGTAGACAGCATTTACACTTTATAAGGCAACAGAAATCTCTGGTTAAACGACAGTATCAAAATTCACCCCTTTGATGTTGTTGCATCGACATTTTAGCCCGAAGTCGAAATCACCTTTTATTCCATATTTTAACCTATTTCCTTGGCCCGTCTGATTCTTTATCATTATTAATAGGTAGGTATATTCATAGCCGTAGTTATTCTCTTCATTCTCTTTTACTTATTTCAAGTATTACAGTAGATTACCGAGTCAATAAGTTAAGCTGCTGACTTTTTCTACCTGTCTATTTGCATGAAATCAGGGAATCCGATTGTCGAAATCTGGAAGTGCTGTCTTTCGAAAAATATATCCAATATTTATAAATGACTCTAAGGACCATTGTAGCAACGATTAAAATAGCCAATTAAGTTTCTTTATTTCGACTGGGAAAGCAGATTTTCATAGATTCAACTGGTTCAAGTGGTTATTTCAGTTGTTGTTGTTGTTGTTAAGGTTGCCCTTTTGAATTATTCACATTTCTCGGTCAGTTTATTCGAAATCTTACCTATCATATGGATAAATTTCAGTTTTACTTTCAATGCATACATAGAAGATTTAAAACATTTAACTGGTTAATTAATGTTTGTCTTTAACGTGTAAAGTACTTTTTCCAGTATCATGTGACTTAAAAACTGATTGTTTCAATTATTGATTATTTCAAGTTAAAATAGAAAAATGCCTATCATCTTTAAAAATCATATATCAAACACTTTTTATTTCTTAATATCAGGTTAGTATTCATCATGAATTGACATTGATTAGAAACCTTTGAGCACTGGACAGCAGTACACATCCATGATCACCCCTCCAGGGATAGAATCCAAAAACTTCAGGTTTTCTTAACTAGTACGTTACGTCGGATATGAGGATAGATGCTCAATGATGGGATTCGATGCAGGTTGCACTATATCATTAACTGACAGAAGTGGGAAATATGAACCACTGGTAACGTGCTGGGCATGGAACCTGTAGGTCCTAGGTTTGATTCTTGGGGGATTATTATTATTGGGTTCCTAGTGGAACATGGGGCTTCGGCAGCACGTCGCGCAACTTCACTCTCTTCTCTGCAGTCTTTTTGACCTGGATCTACGACTGCTCATAAGCTTTCGTTTCTTCCTCGCACACTCTCCTCCATGTCACCTCCGGACACCCAACTCAACGTTTTCTATTTGGGTCCCACTCGAGGGCCTGACGCGTGTTGTCCCCAGAACGGTCTTCTCATTGTATGTCCAGTCCAATCCATCTCTACTTTCTTCTGCATATTTGTTCAGCGATAGGTTCTTGGTTGGTTCGTTGCCAGCCAGCCAGAGTTCTTTATTGGTTTTTCTTATTATTCTGGCCATTTGATCTTCAGTATCGAGTGAGCATGGGTGGCAGGTGTTGATGTTGGAAAGGATTTTTGTGACGCACCAAGTCTTTGAACCATACAGAAGCACTGACTTGACTGAATAAGTGTTGAAAATCCGGATGTTGTTCACTTTTTTTGGTGAGTGCGGTAGATCTCCACATTGATTTCAGATTAGTAAAGGTCTGTCTTACTGTCTTTCTGATCCTGCCTTTGACATCCTCATTTATGCCGCCACCGATGCTTGTAGTTGGAACGATGCTGCCTAGGTAGTTGCAAGAGACAACTTCCTCTAGATTTCCTCCATTGATGATGATTGGTGTTTGTTATTGTTGTTGTTGGTGGTTGGGTATCTTCATCATTTCTGTCTTGTTTACGTTCACCTGAAGTCCCGTCTTCGCTACCTCTCCTCTTCTGCCAACTTGTTAGTTTTTGCCTGCAGATCTTCGAGTTTGTGCGACATTAGATATAAATCATCAGTGGAGAAATCCAAATCTAGGGTCTTTTCATCGGTCAGGTCAGCGTATGCCCATCTTCTCGCTCTTCACGGTCTACTGCACGGTCGAGTGGACCACGATCAGGAAGATCATGGGTGATAGCAGGCGGACTTGTCTTACTCCTGTCTTCACTTCAAAGGGTTATGGGTGCGCACTTCTGAGGAGTCCTGTATTAGGACGAAACAACCGCCCAGTCGGTGAAAAATACCAACGTGAAATCAATAAATAAATCCCCCTAAACGTTCAAATTGAACATTTTACTTCATTTTGCTGTGTCATATAAAAATACAGACCGCTCAAAATAGATCAGTTGCTTTCATAAAGCATCAAGTGGAGATGATCACACTTTATGCTTAGAATTCAATTTCTTGTCTATTGAATTGTGTTGTGATGGTGTGGGTTATATTCAAGGATTTTATTTTTAATTTTTAGATGGATTATGCATTCAGTAAAAAAAACTGTCTGAAGAGATAATGATAGAGTACATAACCTGAGAAAACTATCAGTGTAGTGGTAACTTGATATGACATTCATTCATTTATTCATTCATTTCGATTTCGATTCACTGAAAAGTTTCATAAGTCGCTTGAAATGAATATTGAATAAAATTTGTACGTTTATCATTTTCTTCTGTTTTTCCTTGTTTTTTTATATTTATTTTCTCTCTCTACACATAGATGTGCAATGGAGTAAAGAAAGTATCAGTGAACAACTGGAAAATGATACGATAATTGATAATTCTATGCCTTCAGAAGTGATTCATGCTGAAGTGCATACAGATTTTGATTCATGTGCTCATCAATCTCATGTCTAATTATTCTCATGTCATTTGATTTCATTTCTCAAGGATTTGTCTTTTCTGCTATCTTTCATTCTTATTTATACCATGTAATATATTTTAATTGTTTAAGAGAAGTAAAAAAAAAATTGTTTTGTAGATTTTTTTTGACTTTTTCTTCATTAGTCTTCTCTTCGTTTTAACAATAAAAATGAATTTTTGTTGTTGTTATGAAAAAAAAATGTTTTTAAAGTAATCGTGTGTATCTTAGATTTCTATTTATCCATTTATGCTTAGTTAATTACTGATTTCATCTGAATTATTAACCAATCATTCCATCTTTGAATGGAACATTTTAATGTGTTCATATTTATCATTTTAACTAAGACTAGATTCACTTTTTGTGTGAACAGTTATGCACCTGTTTATCCATCATTGAATCAGGTTTCTTAGTGTGTGTGTGTGTGCAGCACAATCTGGAAAGTTGTGTGCAAAAACATTATTATTATTATTATTATTATTGGGACTATATGACCATTTACTTACTTCACAGGTCGATGATTATCATTGTCTTTATTTTATATTAGCTAAATGAGTTCTGATTTAATTTTTTATTATAAACATCACCACATTTCGCCCTATTTTTATAACTTTCTTAAAACAAATAAATTGAAGTAATATCTGCTTGCTTATTATGACGTATCTGTTCATATTAAACAAGGTTAGGAATAGTCATTGAGTAGCTTTAAGGATTTGATTATCCCTTGAAGTTGGTGTTGTTTTCAAGCAATAAAGCTTAGCAGAAGGGTTTTCTCGCTTATTGGGTTTTCAAATAGATTTTTGTGAAAAATCAAAAATATACTCTAGCTGGTCAACTGAGAGGGCTAAATAACAATGTAAATCAAGCGAGAAAAGATACTTGAATGTCAACAGTAGTTTCAAAGCTGATTTTCAAATGAGGCTCACAATTCGGTAACATCTTCTCAGTCGTAATACTCATATATATAAATATATATATATATATATATATATATATATATATATATATATATATATATATATATATATATATATATATATATATATATATATACTTACGAAACAACATAGAGAAGCTTAGTCTAAGCTGAGGAAAGATGAAAATCTCATAATAAGTAGACCAGACAAAGGAAGAGGCTTAGTGTTCTTGAACAGAAGTGACTACATTGATAAAATGACTATTCTTCTCATTGATCCAACAAAGTTCCAGAGACTTGGTGACTCTCCAGACTTAAATAGAAAAGCAGAGAAGGAGATAATATACACCCACAGGAAACTAAAACAAAGTGGGACAATTTTTGAGTCCATATACGACTCACTTAGACCTGCAGGGAGTAACACACCACGGTTGTATGGTTTCCCTAAAGTACACAAACTTGGACTCCCTTTTACTTTAGTTTTAGACATGTCTAATTCCCCATACCACGCAGTCGCCAAATGGCTAGTAAAGATTTTAGATCCCTTACACAAAGATTTAGTTAACCGCAGTGTGAAAGACTTCTTTGGATATATACCTAAGCTACATAATGTGAATGTAAACAGAAAACATATGACGCCACTTGATACCTCATCATTGTTCACTAATGTGCCATTACTGGAGACGATAGAGTTTGTATGTCAACAAATATCGGAAGGGTAAATCAACATCGGGATTCCTGTACACGTCCTCAAGGAGCTGCTTCTTAAATGTACTATAAATGTACGTTTTGTCTTCAATAACTCTCATTATAGACAGATTGATGAGATAGCTATGGGTTCACCACTTGGCCCCATTTTAGCTGATATATTTCTTGCCAAACTGGAGAATGGAGCATTGAAACAGGTCATTAAGGAGATGATTATGTATCACCGTTATTTGACGACACATTCATTATCCTGGATCAGAATGTGGGTACAAACGAGGTGTTAAGAAAATTTAATGAGATGCACCCTTCACTTGTGAGGAAGAAAATGCCAGTAAACTACACTTCTTGCATGCCTTTCTAGGCAGAAGAGATGGTCCATTCAGCAGATGTATTTACAGAAAGACCACATCTATAAGTCAGTACACTTACTTTCTTAGTCACGTACATATTCGGTACAAAACAAACCTGGTTAAATGCCTCACTAACAGAGCGAGGAAATATTTTCGAATGATCTGGTACAGAAGGAGTCAGATTATGTTCGTAATTCATTGCTTGGAAAAAAGATATGTGAACAAGACTGGGGGGAAACAAACCTAGAGCTATTGCTGTACAAAAGAAAGCGTTGTTCATGAAATTGCAATTTAGTGGGGAGGTGGCCGGAGAAGTTTTATATTAGTTACTCTCTAGAACCATTAAGAAAACCTACGTCGCACACCTCTGTCTATCATTTTCCAGTCTACCAATTGTTGTTGATCAGACAAAAAGATAACGTAAGAAGTTTTGCCATTTCTGTGTGCATTCACAAGTTTAGCTTCTCCTGTGGGGAAAGCTATATAGGGCGTACCACTAGACAACTTTAAAAAAACGTGTTGCTGAGAATCTACCTTCACGGTTGGGAAAGGGACAGATGAAATCCATCAGAAGCTCGGTTTTATCTCACTTCGTTGATAGTGGTCACTTAGTAGAAAAGAACAATGCTTTCACAATTATTCACCGCATACTATCTCATCATTCAAACTGGTCTTCTAACACAGCAGAAGTTGTGGAAATCTGAGCTAATAACCCCTTAGCCAGGAATTAATTAATAACCTTATCACTGGAAATTTTTTCTACCCCCTTTTAGTTCTTCACCCCTTTCAAACACTTACTGTAGTTATTTTTGAGGTGAATGGAGATGATCAGTTTGATAGTAAGAATTCATTGTTATGATCCATAACAGGCGATACATTCGAAGTTCTTATTTAAGGTACACGCGAGAAATCAAGTTGATATTCATCATGGATTGACATCAGTTGGAGGAATATTGGAAACCTGGGAGCATTGGACAGCTGTTTCATCCTTACATGGGACTCCTTAGCAGTGCCCACTTATGACTGCGTCAGGTATGGAACTCAGGACCTTCAGGTTCCATGGCCAGCACGTCAACATTGAGAACTGGGTTGGGATCCAATGGTCCATATTTCCAACTTCTGTTAGTTCACGACATAGCGCGACCATTACCGAATGTCATCGCTGAGCATCTGTCCTCACTTCCACATGTGAGATGATTTTAAAGATAGAAGGTTTTTGTTTCACAGGCAACCAGGAATAAAATAGCTAAAAACAAACATTATTGTTCAGAAGATTCAAGTAAATCCTGTTCGAAATAAGAAATTATTCAGCCATTGTTGGAATCATCAAATATCCTTGAAGACAGGGTGGTTGGTAGAGCTATGATCCCGAAACTTATGCATTCTTTATGAAGTTCTGTTAGCATATTATATGCTGACAATTACAGTAGCTAGGATCCCATATGAATGATGGAATGTTCAGCCAGACCCGAAAAATGAGTAACGAAAGCGAGCAGAGGGCTAAAATATACAGAGAAACAGTTCACTTGAGTGTAGTGGCTACAAAAATTACTTGGTGCGATATCCTTAACCAACTGTTAAAAGATCAGTTTATGGGAAGAAGGTGAGGCCATGATAGAATGAAGCATTCAACTAATTCGCTACCAATGTCTTATTTCTCAACAGTTTCGAAATAAACTCATATAGATGACACTTTTCATTGAATATTTGTCTCCCGCGAAAAACCATTTCCCATGTATAACTAATCATTTTCGAAAAATCTGATTGCTTTTGTCATACTTATATCCTCTTATACTAAACTTCTTAGTGTTGATTTACTCGGAGCAATGATGCTTCAATATGTAAGATATGCACTACATGTTTATGCCCTCCATTATCATATGGCCACTGACTACAAGGTTGAAATATTTTTATTCAATCATTTTAGTACAGTATACCTTGAAACCGTTCTTCAGTTCATCGGTAACTGTATTCTTTTAAGGGCAAGATGAGATTACAGAGAAGATAACTATTGTCCTAGCTGTACATTCTTAAATATATGAGTAAAAGAATAGCGCGTTACAGAGAAGTTTCTCATCAAAGTTATTCTACAAATATAGAGAAGGGATGAAATAGTATTATACAATACAAAAATGGTCTCAAAGGTTTCATAAAATTGAGAGAAAATGCATTGGACAGTAAGATTCAGTATCAACTAATCAAATACAAAGATAGAAGTAGAGAGTGTCTGTTTAGGATCATAGTAAAGCAAGTGTTTGTGCATGTTCCTTTCTAATGCACAATAGAGATTTGAAGCTGTGAGTTGTCAATATTTCAGCTGTACGTAAGTGTCGAATACTCACTTTTTTTGAACACTTTGGTAGAAATTTGAACGAGGTTTTCAAAGGAGCCAAATGTTCAGGTGTTTATCGATGAAGTTGGAGATAATTTTGGACCCATCTTTCGCCATCCAGGCGGGAAAGTGTTCTCTGGCGAGTTTCCAAGTGTGCGGGTAGCACGGGGGACGTACTCCGCCCCACAGAAGGAAATGAACTTGGAAATACATATTGATGAAGCCCGATATGCCAACTTGTCTTTCACGCAATGACGAATCAGCTGTTGACATGAGAATACAATATAGAGTTTGGCAGCATAGGGACTTTGACAAACATTGACGAAGGATATCCACGGCAATATCACCTTTGAATCTGAGTTTCATTGGAAGTATCTTTGACTAGGATCAGTTATACTAAGCTAGCCTCAAAAGCTAGCCAAATCAGGATTGGTAGACCCTTAATAAGATAGGGAATCTAGAAAAAGGGTCAACTATAGCTATGCATGCAGTTACACACAACCAAACAATAGTATAGTGTGAGACGGAGTGACAATCCTTGCAGCTAACTTAGTGGAGTGAAGGGAGAGCCTGATAACCGAATATTTATTTAACGCCAAACGCATGCAACATGAATGACTCAGAATTTGTTCCAGATACATGGAAAATCCTACTGCTTATGTCGCAAATAAGTTAAGAGAAAAAGAACTATATAAACCATATCTCAAAGTTATGAAGCCACCTTGATATGACTACGGATAATAGATTGTTTCTGAAGGGTAATCCAGTGAATAAAACTGTTCCATAATGTGATACATTTAATAAATCAACTAAAATGAAATGTGTAAGGACTCATAGTAATCGGTTTTTCAATGCTACACCATGATAGATGTTTATGAATAGTGAACACATATCGGAAGGGGAAGCATTGATTTTTGGGGAAATCCTAGTCAGTTTGTCTCTTCTGCAAATTCAGAAATATACTTTAAGCGTATGAGCTAGTTGTTTCCAGATCGCTTCCATTTTGTTTATGAGCGAACAAGCCAGCTTATGGCATGAGTGGGGGAGACAATAGATATTATTTATCGCAGAAGTACAACGGTTTTTTATCGTTTTATCAAGCCATAGATAAATGGAAGATGTCAACTACAGCTTGATTTCTCTGTACACCACACCGCTATTCGTCATCTTTTTCGAGAGACTTTCAGTGGTTTTGTCTTTGTTCGAATTTCGGACTCTGAATCCCCATTCATTTCCTACGATCGACATCATCCTTTGTCATCTGTTGACAGTAGACCAATCATTTGATAGTGCAAACCTTCAGATTGCCCTACTATATTAATTCTGCCTGCGAACTTCTGTATTATAT